AAGGGTTGGGGTTAGGTTTAGGGTTAGGTTAAGGGTTGGGGTTAGGTTTAGGGTTAGGTTAAGGGTTAGATTTAGGGTTAGGTTTAGGATTAGGTTTAGTGGGGTTAGGTTTAGGGGTTAATTTTAGGTTTAGGGTTTACAGCGTGCTTCTGTCTCCGCGCTGTTGTCGCCCTGTTGATGACGTCAGCTACGCGGTTTAGTCGGACGTGGTTTAGTCGAGCGCGGTTTTGTGGTGGAACCGTAATCACCTGTGGACATGTTTGCAATTCGACTTGAGATGTTTGCAATTTAAAAAAAGAGACATCGACTACCGCCCTCCCCCAATATCGAAGTTTTTTTAAAAAGGTACAAAGCTGCATATGGAACAACTACTAAAATAAATTAATAAATAAAACGACAAACGTTCTTTTTCGATGTCATGCAAGGCAGGATTTTACACACACTTCAGCTGGACAGGTAAAATTTGGCATTTTTTTGTTTGTTTATTTTGAATCGGAGTGAGCGTGAATGAAACAAAGTCAGTTCCAACTTTCTGCAAATGAAGACACAAAAGTTGTGGAGATTTTGGTAATAGACAAGTGCTGGTCACCAAGGCTAAACACACAATTAAGGAAATGCAAGTGTCCATTAAGGTTTGTTTTTTTTTTTCAACTTTAATCGCCTACCAAAGAATGTGTCTAAGAACACTTAAAACAGAGATGTTTCATACCCCAAATGATAAGGAAAAAAGAAAAGAAGAGGAGAAAACTGCCTTTTTTCTTTCTTTCTACTTTTCAAACAGAGGTACTTGGCTGTCAATCTTGTACAGTTTAAAATCAAAAGCTGGAGTGTAAGGGGGGGGCGGGGAGAGATGGAAAGGCGGACGCAAAATAATAGTAATTAAAACTTGAAATGCTATTTCTACGGCTCTCCAACCATACATTCGTTCCCTAAAGATGGCAAAGACCAAAACAAAAGATTCCAGATTCCTGAAATTTTTTTTTTTTAAAAACCCACCGGAATGCCGAGAGATCTATGAAAAGCGAAGACATGCAAAAGAGAAATGGTGGTTACGCACTTGGGTTTGGTTCTTTACTGCGGTTTCAGAGAAATGGTTTGAAATGCTCACTTAAAAGCCAGGCATTTTTTTAAAAAAAACTGAGCAGCCAGGGGGAAAGAGAGTCACTGTGTCACATAAAAGTTGCGTTTTGCCCATCCTAAAATGCGACACGACATTAAACGGGGTGATTGGGTTTTCCGTGGGAAAGAACGTTAAAACTCCCCCTTAACTTGGGAGCAGGGATAGCTGGGGGGGAGGGAGGGGTTGAATCAACATCGCCAAATCAATATTAATCCTAGAATGCCACATTTTCATGTGCGGGGGTTATTATTATTATTTTTAACGGGAGAAAAGGCAACTGCTCAATTTTACGATGGGCGCGGGTTATTGCTTAATGGAAATTGCTTACGTTTTGGATGACAATCGATCAAACCAATCCATTATTTGGAGAAAATTACGCTTTGGTCGTTTGCGCAGGGAAAAAAGAGGTAAAAATTGAAAGGATTTTTTTTGTGACTATGTTTTTGTTTTGTCAGAACTTAAGTTGTCAAGAAGGATTTCTCCCCAGTTAAGTCTCTCAGCTAGGAAGTATATAGGAGAAGGAGCTGGATTTATTTGGTTGGTTGGTAGATTAATTCTGTTTTGGTACCTCTTGGTCCCATATTTGAAATTCTCGCCAATGGACTCGAGGCCTTCTTTATTCTAGGTAGCCTGCATAGATACTAAATAATAAAAGTGAGGAGTAAAATTCAAAAAAAGGGGGGGGAAGGGGGAGGAAAGAAAATTACACTCCGCTATTCCTTTGCTTAAAGAATATTTTGTGCCAAAATTTCCTCCCCCTAAACAGAACGTAAGTCATGTGGTACAATTCATCCATGCACACAATGCTTGGATTTCCCCCATTTAATAAACATTATTGTAACCACATCAGCCAGATTTAAGAACAGATCTGGGGTTGATTCTGGTGGTGGGGTTTTTTTTTTTTTTTTTGGTGTACATATGGCAGTTACGTTATGTGACAAATTTAAGTTGAAGAAAGAAAAGAAAAAAAAAACACCTTGGACCCACATGCAAGAAACAGTGCAACGTTTTAAGACAGGGAAAACAAACAGCTCAATTTTTTCCCCTAAATGTCTTTCTGTTTTCTTAGAAATTAAGTATGCGTGGTTTTGTTTTCTTCCGTCTTGGGGGTGTGGGGGAGGGAGGGAGGGAGGAGGGAAGGAT